CGTACTGAACACCGTGCCAGTAACATACGGGGTTATTCAAAAGTCACGCACCACTGGCCATAACTTTAAGTTCTAATTATGATATTGACTTACGGTTCAAGACGTTTTTCCTCATATTGAGGGGGAAATTTTTTCAGGTACTTTCCAGTTTTATAACTCCTCGGGGGGGGGGGGGGGGGGGGGGCAACTCAAAAATTTCAAATGGCCACCCCCCTCATGGCTAGTGGTGCGAGACTTTTGAATAACCCTGTAGCAGTGCGAATTTCCCATACCGCACACTTTTTTACCACAGCAACTAAAATTGGCTCCGATTATAAAATTGGGTATTTCTTCAGAGAAACGCTCGCACATCTCGTCTTATTCATTTTTATAATTTATATACATAAGTTAACTTTTATATCCGAAACCACGGCGAAAAAATGAAATCCTACGCTTCGTTGACGAAATTCTATTTCATTTTTTTCGTTTTGTCAATTCGATTCAGTTTTACGTTGCTTGAGTGCAGCCGTGGCTGGGAAATAAAAGCAACGATTCTTTTCACGGTCCATTCGCTTTTTAGGGTGATGTAATTGAGTCAAATGGGGAGAGTAAGTACGCATAGTTGCCGCACGCGCCAACCCCCTCGTAGTTGTCAGCTCTTCGCAACACGACTGAGAGTTCGAGAGGAGCGTATTTTATCACAGAATGTGCTGCATTTTACACAACGTTTAATTCTTCTTACTGCCCATTGCCGCGCACCGGTCTCGATACTTCCCTTGCTCATCTTCATCTGCGGTTAAATGTGCACCGGTTTCGATACTTCCCTTGCTCATCTTCATCTGCGGTTAAATGTAACCGCGGGTTGATTATTGAAGTGATAGAAAAAGAAGACGTAGTATGCACTGGAAAGAAAGAAAAAACGCATTGGATGTAGAGTCCAGACTCTTAAAAACATCGACAAGAAAAAATACTCTTGATTCAATCGGATTTTTGTTTAAATCAAGAACCAAGCCTCTCAATTTGAGCGGATTTCCTTTTGATTAAAGCAAAAATCTGATTGAATCAAGAGTATTTTTTCTTGTCAATGTTTTCAAGAGTCTGGACTCTAGATCCAATGTGGTTTTTTTCTAGTGTGGAGCGATCCTGCTGGTAATTGAAATGGGCGGTTCCCATAAGGGAGAAAATGATGGACTAATACAGGGTCCTCTGTCGGTTGCCGTTAGTCAGTCTATTACCTACCTCCTTCGTCCATTGCAACCACCTGCTTCCACCAATAGGATCCCTCTACAACCCTTTTGTCTCTCTCGTTTTTTTATTTTATTGTGGAATCACTCTATTTGCACCTAACCACATGATCAGAGACGCACACGCGCTGCATTATCGTGTCGTAATGCTCTGCTAAAACCTTATTAATTCATGATTAACTTTTTGAAGATTGTATTAACGACCCCACGTAGCACATCAACGCTGTTTCCTGTCCTGAACAACACTGGGAAAAAACTCATCGGATCTAGAGTCCTGACTCTTGAAAAAATTGACAAGAAAAAATACTATTGATTCAATCGGATTTAAGCTTAAATCAAGAACCCAGCCTCTTAATTTTAAGCGGATTTCCTTTTGATTTAAGCTTAGATCTGATTGAATCATGAGTATTTTTTCTTGTAAATGTTTTCGAGAGTCTGGACTCAAGATCCAATGTGTTTTTTTTTCTCGTGAATGTCCAACGCTTGTACTTTACGCTTTAAGTTTTAAAACTTAAATAAGTTAAAATGCCCACGTGCACGTGAAATCTTTTAAATACGAACGTGTTTCGTCCGTGCAGGATGAACATCATCAGCGACTCAATTTTTGCCCAACTGTTATATTTATTATCTCCAATTTCTAACAGTTTTTCTCCGAGTTTCCTCTGAAATTAGCTGCTCATCCACCCCGAACTTGACGTGACTTCTCTATAGTTTGGTATTCAAATTTTCGACGTGCAATCGGTGATGAAGAACCGAATTGTGATATTAAAAAAATTATCTCTGAGCGTCTTGTCTTTCTTTCGGGGGTTCAAAAATACAGGGTAGCCACTTTTCATCATTCAAGGAACATTTCTTGTAAATAGGGACGGATCCAATAAACCCACCTTTTTTTCAAAGGTAGTCAAGACGGAAGATCTTCTAAACCCTATTCCGTCCTAACAATATTTTTTTCCGATTCCGAAACAGCAGATGCATTAAAGAGACAATCAACAAGAAATGGTACCTAATCGTTTGTAACCTTGTGGCTTTTAGACCTGCGTTTTTCAAACTGAAAGCTGCAGACTTAGTTGAACCGCAAGTATAGCTCTGATGAAATCTCAAATTAACGCAACGCGGTGTGCGCGCCACATGTAAACTTATATTTTTTAGGAAGCAGTAGTTGTTCCGTGACAACTATGTACGTAACGCTTTTGGAGGATGGTCCTATCTGCGCCTTGGTAACGCCGCTTCTCAGACGTCTCCGCTGAGCGCTACGTAATGATATTTATTTAAAACTTAAAACTGCAAAGCTCTCTCCTCTCAATTCATAGTTTCTCGACGATTGTACTGCCGTATTTTGAAATTCCAGAAACCCTGGTGGCCTACTTGACAAGTGTACAATTCTTCTACAGTATGTCTGTTGAAAATCGGGGAGGGATACAGCCATGACCAGAGTTACGTTTTCGCAGGAAAGAGTCAAGTGCATCGTAATTCATCTAAGGCATACTCTATCTTCTTATTTCCCCTCCCACTTCCAGAATGATGTGCATAATTTGCGTTATTTTCTTATCGCCGATGTATTCCTCATTTCGCCCTCGTTTCTCGCTCATAATTCGGCAAATACCAGCTCAACATTACATTTTCTGTGAAGAAGAACCGGCCGATGAATTTATTCGATCCTACCCTTGTATGAAAATGGAGACGTCTTATATTTACCATAATATCTTGTCACGTATGTAAATGGGAAGAAATATTCGTCGGCACGCGTTCACCCAGTAACCAGTGGTCGCGATAAGTTGCGATTGGATCGAAGAATGTATCTGACAATAGTCAGATTAAAAATTGCGATTCAATCGCATAAACTTGCAATAAAATGGGGTTTTTTCAAACGCGGTTTTCTGGAGATAAACTCGCGACAAGATCAAGAAAAATCACTCAGATGTTGATGATCTTAGCGATTCCAGCGGCAGAAAATCGTGAAAGAATCGCAACTCGATTTAAAAATATCGCGATTCCTCCAATGGAAAACGCTACTTGGGCAGTCTTTCAGTTTTACGTATTATTGTTTAAACGCTTACATTTTTTTGTGCGCACAGGTTACATCAACTTCACGGAAGATTTAACTTCTTTACATTCCCTTTGTAACCAGTGTCACTCGTTTTCAAACCAATCTATTTTGTATTTACGGAAAAATGAGTTATTATTTTCATCGCCCCATACGGCGGTGATGATTTCTTTTGAGTACTCTGACCGGAGCGGAAACATTTGTCCGCAATCATGACTGCGAACGAGAAGAGGTAGTGGCAACGGCGCACCTCGGGGTTTCCTCGCTCCCTTAAACAGATATATTTCACTCGGTGCCCGAGATCCCTCTATTTCCCTGTCACATTTTTTTGTAATTATTGTATTTTACTTTTGGTTCAATTTGAGCTTAATGGACTTTATTCTTTACTTGAAATGAAAAAGCGTGATAAATTGGGCGCGGAGTTGTGACAAACTCGCTTTGCAGTCTCCTTTGACGTGACTGTGGGGTCGAATATGGCCCAACCCTCGGTCCCTCGGATGATCTCGTGGTGGATCCAAACGCCGTGCTGCCCTTACCCCCGCTCAGTTCTGCGAAACCATAGTTTTAACTTTTGCCGATCACAAGTCTCCTTTTTAAAGCGGTAAATTGACGCCTGCATCGCGGCATAACAAACAGCGATATTACTAGTCGAGCTCCCCATCAAATACCGGAATCTCCTAGGTTTTGCTGGAAATACAGTTTTCTCAGCCCTAAAACCATGGAAACAACAAACATTACACTACTGCAGGCGGGATTATTGCGATTCCTAAAAAATGATTTTTTTTAGAATTTTTCTACAGATTTCGTAGAGGATACATTACTTGAAGATAACTTACTTGTCAGCGACTAATTATCGCAGTGCCAATCATTCTGATCTTCCCTGTAGAAATTTCTATAAAGGCCTCGAAGTGCAAAAATGTGCCACTCGGCCAGTTTTCGAACAACCCTTCACCTTTGAGTTGGAAGTAATGGAAATCATCACGCCGAGGTGTTATAATGATAGTTTTCATTTAGGTTGCCGAATTTTTCAATCATTACTATCATTTTCAAGGCAAAAGAACGGAGCTTTACCCACATCAAGCAACAAGAACTGCAAAGACTTTGACGAAGAAGCACACTTTCAGTATTTCTGAAGCGGGGAAAGGACGCTCCTCTCCCTTTTTATCCCGCGGCGCTTCAGAAACCTTCACTGGAAAAGAAAACACATTGGATCTAGAGTACCGACTCTTAAAAACATCAACAAGAAAAAGTACACTTGATTCAATCAGAATCTAGCTTAATTCAAGAACCAAGCCTCTTAATTTAAGCGGATTTCGTTTTGATTCAAGCAAAAATCTGATGGAATCAAGAGTATTTTTTCTTGTCAATGTTTTCAAGAGTCTGGACTCTAGATCCAATGTGTTTTTTTTTTCTAGTGTTTTGTTGTGCCGGTTTGAATTGCAGGGTTAACAAACCTTTTCGCAAACGCAACAAGTTTTTTCCCGTCATAATCAAAAACTGCCACCTATAGGTCTCTCTCCCGTGTGAATGCCCTCGATTTTTCGCAGCGGAAAATTCAATCAAGCATTCCACGTCAAAATGTGCGTGGGACCTGCACATTAAGTACGAAAGCACTTTTTTAGTATTACTAGAGTGGGGAAAGGTGGTCGTCTCCCATTCACTCTCTCGACGCGACGAGCGTCAGGCAGCGCGGGGCGGCGCGGTTGCTGTAGCCGAGTCCGGCGCACATTGTTCCGTCTGGAGAGCGTGCCTGGTGCCAGTGATACCGCCGACTCCCGGCACGGCACACGCGCTTCCGTTTCCTCCCGCTTTCCGCAGCGTCGCGACGCACGTGATCCGCGGCTTTCCCGCCAACTTTCCGCTGCGTTAGCTCGCCAGCTTTTCCGGGCAGTGCCCCGCGCGGTTCTACCGACTGGATTTGTTTACCCGCCGGGTCTAATGTGCACATTCGCCGTCGCGTTAATTTCCTCTCACCTTTGCAGGTTTACACTTTTGCGGAATCGCACTCACACAGTGTAATCGCAGTAGCACAGTGCCTCAATCTATGGGGAATCCTCAATTTTTTCGCGGTAACTCTGTTGAGTAGTGCTCGATTTTTACCGTTTCACGCGTCGATGTGATCTTGGATTAAATTCTACGAAGTTTTTCGGTATCGTCCAGTGTACCCGGTTTGGCGAGACGCAGTGTGAAGTTTTTCGAATGGTCGCTGCTCGTCTTGAATGATTTAATTGTGCGAGTAAATATTTTCGCCGGGTGTTCTATTTGTTCTGAGGTGGTGGTTACGCTTCGGGATATTCAAATTCTTGGCTCGAGTTGTTTGCTTTGCAAAGTGAGCAAATAGTTCCGTATAATTAAAGATATCCTAGCTCTTGCCGGAGCGCAGTCTTTCGGATGGTGTTCGACTCGGTTTCAAGAAGTCCAGCCGCGCGTCTGCCAAACGAAGTTCAAACAAGTCGGTGAAACGAATGTGTTTATCCACCGCACAAGTGGCCGTGACGTAATCCACTAATCGGTTGTATCTACAGACGGACGCCCGAGCTCGTCGGGGCTCGAGAGGGTCTCTTCAAAACGGTGAATTTTTCCCCGGCGTCGCGTCGTGCACGGAGCCGAATTTCGCCCGGGCGGGTGTTGTTTCGAGTCGGATGTTGATTAACGCGGTGTGGAAAACAGCAACAAGTGTGTTCGTGAGTGTTTCATTTATCATTCCGGCGCCGGCTTGAGTGGAATCCTCGCCGGCGGATCCAGCCCCTCGGGTATGATTCCCATGGTAAGTTTCACAGCCCAGTTCGGCTCCTTGTTTCCGGTTAGGTGGCTGATCCATCGCGGGAGTAGATTAACATCAAGATATCGATGTAACTTGGTTCCAATATTGATTTCTTACCGGTTTTTAAGTCCACACTGAAAAAAAAGGATTGCTAATTCACCGATTTAGGGTGGAGCAAAATTTGCTTCACTTCGTAAAGCTTTCTTATCCGTGCACGGTGTTGAATCAAGTGAACGACTAGCACGAATTGCTACACCAATTTGCTACATCTGCGCGCCTTCATGCAGTTAATCTTGCATCGAGTGGCTTGGAAGTGTAACTACATTTTTTGGTATTGGTACTTTGCGAACAGTAAAAATAGCTCAATAGTAAGGCTGAAATAGCGGAATTTACAGAAAAATAGCGAAATTTACGGAAGAATAACTAAAAAGGTAACAGACGTAGCTTTTCAGAGAGCAAAATCACCTACACGCGTGTGTGTAAGTTAGCTGAAATTTGTGTAGCGATTTTACCTGCATGGTTTGCTTTTTCGTTTTTTAGCTACACTATGCCATGAAATACCCGCGTGCAAGGCAAATTCAGCAATATTTTTTTTCAGTGCAATTCACCCTATCATACTTTTCATCCGACATAATTGGACGAAAAGTCAGATGGAAAGATGGACGCAGAAAAATTTGATTCAATTACACTGGAAAAAACAACACATTGGATCTAGAGACCAGACTCTTGAAAACATTGACAAGAAAAAATACTCTTGATTCGATCGGATTTTTGCTTGAATCCCAAAGAAATCAGCTTAAATTAAGAGGATTGGCTCTTGATTTAAGTTAGATTCTGATTGAATCAAGAGTACCTTTTCTTGTCGATGTTTTTAAGAGTCTGGACTCTAGATCCAATGTGTTTTTTCTCCAGTGAATTACCGTTGCAGTGGTATATCGTCATCAGCCTGGGGTTCGCGAAGATGCAGCCTCGGCTCATTTCGGTCGGAAGATTTCGTTCCAACTTTCGAAAGTTGAACGATAAGTTGAATGTGACGTCATATTCAAGCTTCCGTTCAATTTTTCTTCAAATTGTCGTTTTCTCTCGTCAGTGTCCCACTGTCCAACTTTTCATTCTACAAGTCACCTCCAAGAGTTGGATGAAAAATTTGATTGTGTGAATTTTGTTCATCTGTGCGATCACCAGCAGTATTAACCCCAATGACATCATTCGACGTTTCATAGAGTAAATTGATATTACCCGGCAAATTATAGACATGGGCAATGGCGTTTGGGCGTCGCAGAGCGCGAGGCGGCGCTATAAAAGCGGCTTTATGTATGTATGTAAATTATAGACATCATTCTCATCGTTTTTCGATGCATCCGCCAACTTAGTGACAACATTTTATCATTTGCCGCAGCATTATGATCTCTAAGCGAAGCTTCAATGGCCGCTTTATATACCGGGCCATTGCAACGTCCATGGAATGTGAGACCATAGATAGTAGATTAACATCAAGGTATCGATGTAATTTGATCCAAATATTGATTTCATACCAGTATTAGTCATTGCAACGTCCATGGAATCTAGGACCCTGATAACGCAGATGCTTTTCTTCGCCGTACTTAACAAAAAGTTATGAGTGCTCCTTCAGAATTCGGAAAACACTGATAAAAGAGTTAGTGCTCGGAGCTCCTAAATTTACTCCTCTTTGTGTCGGGACTCTGGAGAATCTTACTCATCAACCGTTCTCATTTTATCATTTACATACATTTATTTCTTCAGGGCATATGACATTAATTTATCGATTACCGGTCCATGTATCTGACGCGTCGCTAAACGTGTACCTAACGGCGATCAATTATCCCTGCAGCTTGATGTGACGCGCTTAGATGCACATTCTGTTCTTTCTCAAAAAATCTCATTTGTATGACCTAAATTGAGTGAAGGACAAGTTTCCCTTAATCTTTGCATGTGTAACCAACTCCACTGAGACTTTTTTGTTTTTTAATCGGAGTGCATTTTGCAATTTGGAACTATAAATTCTGGCTCTTCTTATGTGCAATGGCACATACGTTGTCTTTAAACCGGGCTAGAATTTATAGTTCCAAATTGCGAAATGCAGTCCAATTAATCTAACGTTTGCGGGGTGTAACCTTTAACTGTTTGATCTACAATAAAAATGTGCCCTACGAGGTTAACTAAACAGACGGTCCTAAAGTAAGCCACCAACTTCTGCAAATGTATATGCAGGTCAGCGAAGGAGCGAATAAATAAATATATTTATTTATGAATAGCGTCATACAGTGTCATCGTCTATTTTAATATTCGGTATGGCACTTCACGGAACTATACCCGATTGGACTTCTAGAATAACTCTAGGAACAGGATACAGCTGTCCAGCATTTATTGAAACTGTTAAGATATTTGATGGTTTCTTCGACATTTGAGTCATTTGGAATGATCTGTGTTCATGTTTCACGGGTGCGTTTGAAGCAGAGAGGAGTCACAACCCTCGGAAACGTGCCTCACATGAAACTTGGTATAAGACCAAGGAACCATTAGAAACCTACCTATAGTTTATCGCAATGCGAACTTTGAAATCGACTGCGTGGGAAAAAAAAGATTTGATTAGGTGCATGCCTATCCATTATTATGTTTCGGTCTGATTATTGTGAGTACTCAAAGCAGTGTGATATCTCTTGACCTGCAGGCACGTATCATTGTCTTCTATTGTTGATGGTTGATTAATTTCATCTTTGATAACATGAGTTACTCGAACCGTGACTAATGTGCATGGGTATTGAATCTTCAGCGGCATTACTGCCACTTTATCGGGAAGTGTTACTATATCGATATTTCAGGAAAGGAAATGTAAATTCAGTTGCCACTTACAAAATAATCGTAAGGAAACACAGCACCAAGATTAGGTTAATGGATCTCAATATAACAGAGGCACTTGGTTGGCTCTGCGGTTTTTTGTTTTTCCTAGCGCCTTTTTCCTCGAAATTTTGAATAGACTTGAGTAAATTTCGTAAAAACGACAGGACAAAATACTCTTGATTCAATCGGATTTTTCCTTGAATCGAAGAGTCGAACCTCTTGATTTACCTCAGCAGATTTCCTTTTGATTCAAGCTAAAATCCGATTGAATCAAGAGTATTTTTTCTTGTCAATGTTTTCAAGAATCTGTACTCAAGATCCAACCGGCTTTTTCCCAGTGTATTTGCCTCAAGAACTGGGCATTTCTTGATCAAAGATTGATTCCAGATTGATTAAAATTAGCTTCGAGGAGGGACGCTTTCCTCCTTTTTTTTTATGGTGTCCTCTTTCGACTTCGACATAGTCGCCGATTTGTGTAGATTTATCGCGCTTCAACGAAATTTCACGTTCTCAAGAAGACCCATCATTATTATTACAGAAAATATTATCATATTTCGACTTGTAAATCAATGTTGGATAATGTTACTAAAAAGAACGCCACTTAATTATTACTTCCGTGTTGCATCTCAGCAGTCTCACAACTTCTGCCGTTATGCCAACGCAATATCGCCCCACAAATGTTCCGTGGCAATATCTCTCGGTATGTCTCCGACGTTTCGGTACACCTCACTGATCATGCATACATATCTCACTGTCTTTTGAGCTTACGCGAGGTGCAAGTTGAGGCTGAGATGCATTGATCTACATTTAAGTATGCCCACAGTAGAAGTGTCATTTCGCTTAGTATGTGAGCTGTGCAGCCGCTCATTCTGGAGCTGACGCCGCGCCGATGGCATTGCATATCGATTTGTACTCGTTGATGAGCTGAAACGCTCGTTAAAGTCAGCCCAGACATCCGAATTCCTCGTAATACGAATATATCGATCAGAATATGTAGCTCTTAGACTGCGCCGAGGGCCAAGACAAGCTCGTAAAAATGGTTCTCAATAGGCGCTCCGAACAACTATCGCTCCACACTTTATCTTGTTCTATTTTCGGTGAGCTTTTAACTCATGGGGGGTCTCTGTTGCTGCTGCGAGTCTGTTACTAATCACTTGCTGCAGGAAGTATTTGCAGTTGGAAAAATTGCAGAGTTAACGAGCTGAGGGGTTAATACTCGCATTGATGAATTGTGGAACAACAAAATCTTCCAACTATAGAATCGAAGAGTATTGTTTAGAGATCACCTGCAATTTTCGACGTCGATTTCCTATTTGTAACTGGAATGGATTTGTAATTGCATCCCTCTTTACTCTCAACGCCAACATCGCAGGAATGCTTTGAATTTTTCGCCACCAGCTTTAACCGATCTGAGATCGGCAACCGCGAACTCTCGCTTTCGGCCAAGCTAGCGGATTCCTATATGGTTGGCGGCTTCAAAATCTGCAACTGCTACAGTAACATTGAGAATAAAATTACAAAACTGTGACAGAACGTAACTGTAGGTTTCAGGCTCCTTTTCTGGGAGAAGAAAGAAAATAATCGGAACATACATGAACATAAATTTTCATTAGCTGATTATGATTATCAGACTTATAACGCATGACAGGTCCTTCATCTCGCCTACACTGACAGCAGGTTCAGCCTGTATTGAACCCAGTGATGTTGCCGCGTCACTCACAAATTTTTCGCGAGTCAATTTGAAAATCGGGAGGGAGCCAACTCCAATTTATCCGGTGGTACCCAATATGGACTTTGGGAGCCAACTCGGACACTGCCGAATCATTCAAATGAACTACTGTTTCCCGCGCAAACTTGTGGCAGGAACGCTAAATCACCTCTCTCTCGTGGAGACAATAACTGGGAAAAATCCCCATAAGTTTCATTCCTGCGATTCGATATTACACTGAAAAAAAAAACACATTGGATCTAGACTCTTAGATCAGACTCTTGAAAACATCGACAAGAAAGAATACTCTTCATTAAATCGGATTTTTGCTTGAATCAAAATGAAATCCGCTTAAATTAAAAGGCTTGGTTCATGATTTAAGCTAGATTCTGATTGAATTAAGAATCTTTTTCTTGTCGATGTTTTTAAGAGT